GTGATGTTTCTGTGAGGTGTTGAATGTACACGCATTTTAAACTGATGTCCTTCCTTGACGCCAAATGTGAATTGATTTCCTTTTCCACTTACAGGCAGTACCACGAGGCTCTGGAGAGCTACAAGAACATGACACAGCAAATGAAGAACCTCAACAGCTTCATCAAAAGCCTCGACAGTGTTATGAACCACAGACTTCAGGCTTATGCCGAGCTCAGGAGGTAAGTGGTGAATTCACAGTTTGCTGTTTGTATTTTGCAGTGATGTACTTACCTGTGCAATAAAGTAAAAGAGAGTAAATAGTTACATCTGTAATCCAGGTAATAATTATTAAATCATTAAAACTGTGGCCTCTGAATCTGAACTTTTTTTGTCTAGTTATAGACCGAGTGACTAGTCAGATTTTTAAAACAAATGTTAGCTTAACAGTCCAGACAGCACATGTGCCAATCTGTTCAAATGAAGGTATTTTGGCCTGATGCTTTTTTAAACCTCACTTTAAATTACATGAATATATAAACATAAAACACTGAATCTTTGAAATCAAATTCAAAGCATTGCCCACATATGTGTACTTAAAAGGAGCTCATGCTAATGACCCTCCAGTTAGCCCCTGCACTACAAAATGATAGAACAAGATATTAAAACAAAAAAACAGCCTAGAGGTTTTTGGGGTCTTTTTCTGTGTAAAATATCTCACCCGTCTCATGCCCACCATGTAAGTTTTTCACTAATAAGCACAGATTTAAATATCAGTTCAACAGTCACAAACATCTTGCTGTTTCCTATCATTTGATGATGGGTCAGTATAGTTGCTCCACACAAACACTTGGATTTGGATGAGTGGAAGAAAAGAAATGGATGAATCCCGCACTAATGGACAACATTAATTTTAATGCATCAAAAAAGTCGCCTTGATTGGCGAGCTATCGCTATTGACTGTGACCATGACATCGTTGTTCATTGGCAGATAAGAACTCATCACACATATCACAAACTTTCCCCAAAAGGGTGCGCTGCTTCACACACAGGTTTAGCTAGTCACGAGCATTAGTTACTTTCAGGTTTCATCTTCTCTCCTAGCTTAATCACAGACACTGCATGTTTATTTGGATCGATCAAATTGAATTTTTAATTCTTCAAAACCTGGACTTGTAGTTCTAGTAGCTTTAGTACCATATTTGACAACAATTTGTTAAATACTCCTACAGGTCCCTCTGAAGTCTATACGTAAAGTTCTATTTTTTATATTTATATTTTTAAGATTGCGGTTATATGATTACTTTTCTCTCTCTCTCTCTTGGTATCATAGGTTCCTGTCAGCCCGCTGTAAATACTACTTTGATAGCATGTTAGCCCAGAGAGGCTACAGTGGAAGTATGATCTTTGATCACAAGAACGAAACCCTCTCCATTTCCGTAAGCCTTTTTTTCATTCATCAGTAAGAGGCCACTACAGCTTCAGATTTATATTAAAGTGCCTAAAGGTTTTTGATTATTATTATTTAAACAGAGACTCATTATTCTTATGATAACTTTGTAGGTGCAGCCAGGCCAAGGAAACAAGGCTGACTTGAGTGACATGCGCTTGCTGTCCGGAGGGGAGCGCTCTTTCTCCACTGTTTGTTTTGTCCTCTCTCTTTGGGCGATCACAGAGGCGCCTTTCCGCTGTCTTGATGAGTTTGATGTTTACATGGTAATACAATAGTTTTCGTTCGCATTATATTTATGTTTAGATTGCGGGTGCATGCATATTGCAAACTGAGATAATCATCAGTAAAAACAACAAACGATAAGGAGACAGAGAATATGCAACACTTCGTTACAGTTGCAAAACTGTCCCACTGGGTTTGGCCCCATTTAAAGATAACATTGGCTTTGGGTGTTCTCTTTAAATAGGACATGGTGAACAGAAGGATATCCATGGACATGATGCTGAAGGTGGCTGCCAGTCAGCGCTACAGACAGTTCATTTTCTTAACCCCACAGAACATGAGGTAACCACTGACACAACCTCTGTGTGTTTATATACAGCATTTGTGTGCTACAGCAGCTAGACCACCCAGATGTGATTTATTGACTTGGTCGTTGTAGACTAAGCCACTGTAGGGTAAAGGTCGTGTGACTTCAATGCGCTGCTTGGTTTCAGTATTCACATCATAATTTTTTATTTTTTTTTATTTTATGTTAAGTTCCCTTCCAGAAAGCAAAATCATCCGCATCCTCCGCCTCAAAGATCCAGACCGGGGCCAGAGAAACACGCAGAGAAGTGAAGACGAGGACCAGTAATATTGCTAGCTCTGTTTAACATGATAAAACCTTAAAGTGCCTCTGAAACACTGATGCCAGCTTTTTGGAAATGTTTGTAATATTGAAGGCCTTCAGCCGCAAGTTAGTTACTTCTCAGCTAAACTTCGGTTTTGAGAAGCGTCAGCTTTGTTCATGTAAACAAAAATATCTGTTCAGTGTGCTGTTTGTCAAAGATTTTGTTCTCTAATACTGGATTCAGACAGTAATAAAAATGTTGTATGTTCAGATAAGTACAGTTACAGGGAAGGAGTGTTTTTATACCCACAAGAAAAAATAACCGTTAACGGACTTGAAAACGGGCACATTGGAGGAGTAAATGGGGTCATCGTAAGCGCGGGTTGAGTTTCTTTAAATTCAGTTCAAAATTGGTTTATTTTGTTTTTGTTTTAAGTGTAGCCTCATGGAGTCTTTTTCCACCTCAGGTTTGTCTAATGCAAGTAAGTGTATTAAGGTGCTGCTGAAGAAACCTAAAACACAGTTGGTGACACCAAAATTTTGAGCATATCTTTGATTTTTTTTTTTTTAAGTATAGGCTTTATAAAGGTTTCTTTGACTGTCTTACGTTATACTATCTCATTTACTGTGCTAGTGCTGTCCTGAAGGTTACAGGGGTTGTGTGGTAGTTGGGCTGTGGCACAAAGCAAGGGGTGATATAGGGCACCCGTTGGTTATTGTAATTGGCCTATGTTATGTATATTGTTATATTTATTAACTGATATGTTTCCCAGTACTTATTAAAAGAATTTAAGGGTAATCCCTCATCCCCACTGACATTTCAACCTGTTGCTCACTGATAATTATAATTAAAGATAATTTTATAAATCTGTTTCAGAAAATGGATTTTTTTTTTTTTTTGTTCTTCATGATTATCTCATGAATGCAATATTTAGGGACACCTTGAATTTTGGGCAGAGGAAGGTGTCAGCAAAGGTTTAAGGTCACTGCAGTGGATCATCTGCCTTCACACCACGTGTCAGCATGCCCTCCATGCCAAATTCCCGTCTCCGAACACATCTTCCTCTTCTATTCGTCCTTTGACTTCAGGCAGCTTACAGTTTAAAAAATAAATTATGGGTGAAGAAACATTAGTTGGTTATTGTGTGCAAAGTTCAATGAATCTTTCCCTGTGGGAGGATTGTTGTCATGGAGCAACAGACATCTTCCTGTTGTATTAACTCATTGGTCCTTCATGCCGGATGAGCTAAAACTTTTTCACATTATTCCGATTTTGGGTGGGGGGATGCAATGGTGTTATGAGCATAGACGTTATAAAAGATGGATCTACATGGGTGAAATCATTGAGCTGAATGCTGTTGCTTTCTTCATCAGTTCATTCGCAAAAAAACTGATAATTACAATTCAGTCGATCCAAAATTGACTCTGTTAAATTGAGCGTTTCTGCAGGATATTGCTCCCTTATCCTGTGCCTATTAAAAATAATTCTGGTTTAAGTCACTTCTGCTGTGGCTTCACTTCTCATTCCATCTTTATGAGTGTGGACATAAATGCACGATGATGGCACATTTATGTTAGCTGGTTGTCCAGCAAAGGAGTAAAACTGAGAGGCAGTAACTAGTTTTTCCTTACTCTACCACAGTTTGACAGAACTAAGAAAAAACACTCTGATTGCCAACACTGAACAAGCGGTGCTACCTTAAATGATGCATATCACGACACAGTGCTATTTAAAACAGGGATCTGAACAGACATATTAATTAGAAAGATTTTGAAACACATTTCTCTAACTTCTTGCTAAAAAAATTTTTCATGTTTATATTGACAGTTTAAGTTTGTAAAACTATACAGGCTCATCACCTTGTACATTTTGAACATACAGTATGAGGTTAAATTGCTTGTATTTATAAAAACATCCAACCATTTTCTATCGTTTCTCTAGTTCAGGGTTGAAGGAGCTTTTCCCGGCTACCATGAGGAAAAAGCCAGGATACAACCTGAACAGATAACTATTGATGCTCACTTTCACACACACTTTCACAGTGTAAAACTGCCACTTAACCTAACCCATGCATGCAAACTCTACACGTCTGTGTTGGTTCTCTCTAGGTACTCCGGCTTCCTACCACAGACATGCATTTAGTGGGGTTAAGCTATTTTGATGAATCTAATGTGTCCATAGGTCTAAATTGTCTTATTGTCCATAGGTGTGAATTTGATTGCAAATGGTTGTCTGTCTGTTTTAGCCCTGCGTTAGATTGATGACCTGTTCAGGGTGTAGCCTGCCTCTTGCCTCTTATGTTAGCTGGGATAGGCTCCAGCGCCCCTGCAACCCTGACAGGGATAAGCAGAAGAGTATGAATGAATGGATGTTGCGCACATATAAACAGTACTGAGAGAAAACAGAAAAAAAATGACTCTCTTTAAAATGCTATAAGCTATTTTTAAGACAGTCTAAAGAAACAGCTTAGAGATGCAATGCTCCAAGCTGGACTAGAGTGGGAAACCCTGTTACCCTTAGCTCTGAACTAAACCTAAACTAAGAAAAGTGCAGATAAAAGGTAGTTTATTGATTTGCACTTTGCTCTGCGGTAAACTATTCAGTGTACTTCATTAAAATATTCCAACTGAAACCCTGTGACCTATTGAGGTCAGCCTAATGAGGAGGAAGGATTTGCACCTTTAAGGGCTCTGAGCCAGATCCCAGCACACAAGGCGGTCCAGTGGAATGCACTTCCACTCATGCACATAACGTCTGCTGACAACAAACCTGACCTCCTGAGGAATCTGGTGCCTTTCTTCCCCCCTCCTTACATCTCAGAGAACTGCAACAATCGGGTAAACATGAAGCCCAAGTCTCTTCCATCCAGGCTGTTTCAGAGAGATTCACCTGCAACAGCATCAGGCAAGAGTCCCAGCAGAAGTGCAGCAAAGTATGAGCGGCATGTGGACTGCGTTGATCACCCAGAGCTGCTGGATCCATCTTTGTCCAACGACGGGCAGCAAACAGCTGACAGCAACAGGCAACACGAGAAGTGCCACAGAGAAACACTTTTCGCCTTCCTGCCAGAGAGGTACGAGCCACTGGTGGATGATGAGGCGAAAGCCAAGGCAAAAGAAGAGAAGAAGAAAAAGAAGAAGGAAAACTACAAAAAAGTCAAGAAGGTTTGTGTATTTTTATTTTTACACATTTTTTTTCTAACAGTGCAATTTTCCAAATCCAAGTTTAAAGTTGCAAATTCATTGTGTGTATCCAGCCTAATGACAGTTTTTCTCCAAATTTTTTTTTCTTCTTCATAGAGTCAGTGTGGGTAAGTTGAAATGCTTTCAGTATGAAATCAATCAGCTGCAATCAAATTATTTTAATTTATTTGATCAAGGTTTAAACAACTCTTAATAAAACAGTTCTCAGCATTACTGTGTAAAGTATCTTGAGATTAAGATGCTCCAACGTAAATAATCACAACAAGCTTTTTATCATAGGTAAGATTAAAGGCTGATATGATGACGCACATATTTTAGAGGCCTTTCCTTTGGCAAATAGGACTAACTTCTGGGTTATCAGAGATTATTCTCTCTAGAGATCTTTTATAGCTTCATATGTGTCAGCCGTGTGGCGAAACGTGCACCGAGGTGGACAACAGTTCAGGCTAACACAATAGAGCTCAGGACATGCTGTTCAAAGGAGTTTCCCACTTCCTGTATGAAGGCAGCCTGCACTCAAACTTCTCAGCGTTCGCATTCTCAGTTCAAGTGCATGTCTGTATTTAACCCTGTGCACATCTACAGTCAGTTTACTAAGCAGAGAGGTTTATAACCATACCACGTGAGTGATAGGAAAGCAACAATTTTACAACAACCTTATCTCATGACCTGAACATAACATGTGCACACGCACAAACAAACAAACTCAAAACATAAGAGTCCATGAATCAACTTCCAAAGAGCAAATTCCCAAATTCTTTATTAATGGGGAGTCATTTCTTCTTTTAAGTAACATTAAAATATAATGATGTGGTGAACTCAAGAGAAAACTTACACTGTTCAAACTTTTGTCTTTTCTTGTAGTTCTGGTTTGGGTAAGTTGAAAATAATCTCTGCCTCCATCTTTTTTTCACTTAAAAAAATATGTGATCAATGAGCCTTAAACTAATGATTCAGTCTGTCAGGGCTCTGTGTGCGGGCAGGTGGAAATGTGGATCCAAATGCAGGACTCCGAGACGAAATGTAACTAAAACCACAGCTTTTATTGCTGGCATGAAACAAAAACCAAACCATGAAACCAAGCAGGAACACACAGGCAGGGTCTGAGGGTACGACGCGACACCGAGCATTGGAAAACACATGGCTTAAATACACAGGGTAGTAATGGGGGAATGGGCCACAGAAGGGAGACACAGCTGGGGGAGATCAGGGCTAACGAGACGGGGGAAACAAAGCTGCACACACACTAACATAAGACAGACTTTCACAATAAAACAGGAAACATGAATCACAACTCAGAGACACGGACTCAACACAGAGAGACAGAAAAGGACACATGGAACTGAACTATACATGAAACCACAATTCCTAAAACATGGATAACAGAAACATGAAACTCTAATAATAATAATAATCATCACAACCACAAGAGAACAAGAAAACAATCCATGATGCAAAATTACACCAAAACATAATAAACTCAAAATACTGGGTCCAACGGACCCAGAACCGTGACACAGACATTCTGCTGTTTATTGAACAAAGGGCTAATAAATCTTTTGCAAGCTGATGATTCAAATTTAAATGACCAAAATGGCCAAGATCGCTTCTATAAATTGTCCTGAAATTATTAAGTCTCTCATCCTCACAGCATGCGCCCCACTTTCTTCATTTGTTTTTTAATGTTTATCATTACTTTCTACAATTATTGAATTGTTTATCATAATCATTATCATAATTATTTCCCATAAAGATACTTCTGGCTACTTCCTTATTCACAAGGGGTCGCCACAGTGGGTAGATCCCCATGTTTGATTTGGAAGAGTTGTACACCGGATGTCCTTCCTCTATGGAAGCTTTTTTCACTACTGAAAAAATTGCCATCCATAAGTCAAATATTCGGGTTTATTATCTCAAAATTTCAATTTACTCAGAATTCTGTGTCAACAAGTTGAAATTTCAAGATGATAACTTGAATTTCTTCTTAGCTCTGCATGGCAAAAGGCCTAAAGAGATTTGTGTCTCCTCCCAGGAACAAACTGGGGACCTTTTGTTTGTTAGGCAAATGTATAAACCACTAGACCATGAGACAAAACAAACCCCAGCTGGAAATCTAGAGGCAGGAAACACAGCAAAGGCTTGTGGCTCCTTTTGGAAAGAACAAGTTGCTTTTTAACCAGTGCTCACGTGTGATTTATAAGGAAATGGAACGTGAGCTCTGTCTTTCTTGTAAACATTAATGTAGGCCAGGTAAATAAATCATAAATAAAAGGGTGCTCAGATTTTCGTGTGTTGTGGTTTTGTTACTGATTAATTTAAATTGCAGACTGTTGCATTCCCCAGTAAAACTTCTGACTTCCTGCATCCTCTGCAGCCAGTTATCTCTTTCCTGTCCAGAGAGTACAGAAGAGGATTGTGCTCACAGTGTGCCACTCTTCCTGCTGCGCCATTGTTCTAAAGCACGCACACTTAAATTATGTCCTAACTTCGATTTTCTGTTATTTTCACCTGCGTTTTGAAGAATCTCTGAGAACTGATGCAGCGTCTGAATACTGCGAAAGTAAAAATGATTATGACCTGTGTGGAAACAATCACATTTGTTACCGCTGCTTGTTTCTTTTCTTTCTTGCCTTCTCTGAATGAGTGGATTAGTCGATTTATAGATCATAAAAATGTGGTCAATGATAGGTGGATTTATTAAGTCATTTTTCGGATTTATCTTTCAGAATGTCGGCAAGGCGCTGCGTTCCACATGGAAGTGTTTGATGCTTGGTCTCTACAGCTTTGCTCTCGGATACTCCACTCCCATCACGGTGGCTGCTACTTTTGTCCCTGACTTTCACCCGAGCAGGAACAGGACCTGATTCGAGCTCTGTCGATCTCCTCCACTTTGTTTTCATACTATATATACCAGTAACTCGCAGACTCTTACCAAAGACTTTAAAAGTGTGAATAATGATTGTGCAATTCAGATTACATTTTCAAATTCCCTGCTTTTGCAGATCTTACAAGATCTACTGCATGGTCATATTTGCAGAAATATGCAAGATCATAAAATCTTATTAAGTATTAGGTTAACTACTGAAAACACTTGTTTTTAAATCAAGTGTCTGCATGTGTTCAAAGGGATTATGTGGGCATGTGGAAACTATAGCAGGGCAGCAATAACAGGAATATTCACCGTAGCTGCAGGTGAGGTGAGTCAGGCCAGAGACCTCTTTAAGGGATTTGCAAGCAGGAAAGACTCAACAAGGAGGTGATTATCAGTAATACTGGAAGAGCAAGTAAACAGAAAGGAACCGGCCCAGTCCTTTTCTGGGTGACACAACTTAGGTGCTTTTTGGTGTACAAATTCTGCTGTGAAACAAGGACATTAACTAAAACTTAACAAACACGAAATGAAATAAGACTGAAACCAAAAATGAAAACTAACAAAATAAATATTTTTTCTACTTTCAAAACTAGTAGTAATAGTTTTAATAGTTAAAATCTTTTTTGCAAATTTGAGAACACAAGTATGAGGAGGTTTTTCATTTTGGGTTTTTTGGTGGGTGGTGGGCGGCTACATGACTTTTACGGTCAAAAGCCTTTACAAAAACAGAAAGCTAACTAAATAAGCTACAATTTAAAAAAACAACAACAAATTAAATAAACTAATATAAATTAAAAAACAAAAATATAACTTTGCTGTAAATACTGTAATGTGACGCCCAAGATTTGAAGAATTCTCTGCTTGGAACAAAATATTCTGACTTTTAAGATATTTTTAAAGATGTGTGTAGATTTGATCATTTGTAAATTATTAATTATTCATGATGTTTGTACTTTTGATTAAAATAAAGCATTACTAGGAATGCATCTGAAGAGAAATTGACGTTTTTATTATTATTACTACTATTATTAGAGTGAACTCATTTTAGCAAACATAACACATTCACGTGTTGATTTAATAATTCATGAATAACAACTTTGGCAGTTTGGGAGTTCGCCTTGTAATCGGAAGTTTGCTGGTTCGAGCCCCAGCTTGGACAGTCTCGGTTGTTGTGTCCTTGGGCAAGACACTTCACCCGTTGCCTACTGGTGGTGGTCAGAGGGCCCGGTGGCGCCAGTGTCCGGTAGCCTCGCCTCTGTCAGTGCGCCCCAGGGTGGCTGTGGTTACAATGTAGCTTGCCATCACCAGTGTGTGAATGTGTGTGTGAATAGGTGGATGACTGGATGTGTAAAGCGCTTTGGGGTCCTTAGGGACTAGTAAAGCGCTATACAAATACAGGCCATTTACCATTTTACTAAAAAACAACTAGAATTAATTAATTATTAAAACATTTTCATAACAACTGTATGTTCTATTTTTAAAAAGACAAATTCTTAGAGACTTTACAGAAGAATCCACCATCAGCCCAGATACCGTTTTCTTCTCCACAAGTCTCATGGACTCAGGCGCTGCACAGCTACTCCACTCCTCAGTGGCCTCTGGGTCACTTTTGTCTCAATAGACTGTGTTACATGCTTTGAAGGGCATGTCATTCTTCTTTGTGCCTTTGCTTCTTCTGGTCTTTTCTTTCTTTTTAGATTTCAGTGCCTTGGTGGAAATGTAGTCTACATGATGGAGGCTTAGCTCTCTTCCTGACAGTCCTGTCATTTTGGCAGGGAACACAGATCACTGAATGTAACACAAGTTGAGGTATGAACAGGTTAAAGTCCATCTCTTCCTCAGGAACACATTCAAAGTTGACTGTTATTTCTTCAGATCCTACCGCCTCGGCATCCAAGAATGTAAAGATTAGGGGCACCTCGGATACCACTGCAGGGTGATGAATGGGGCTGATGGATTCTAGGGTCGGCTGGGCAGTGGCTAGTGTTGTCTGAGTTTTGCCTGGTGGTGCTTGTGATGTCTGGGGGTTTGCTGAAAGGGGAAGGGGAAGTAAGTGGAAGGGGTCTCTCGGTTGTTTTACTGGGAGCAAGAGCACTTTCTTGGAGGATGTGTTTGTTTAAGGGGAACATTCCTGTCCCTCTGAACCCTGCCTGTGCATTTTCAACAGTGGCAGCCTTTCTGCATGCTGGGCAGAAAACTGAGAAAAACTCAGACTTTAATAGCTTTTGTGCTGCCTGTCAGATTAGTAGCAAGATGGGTCTGGCGTCATCCTGAGGTAATGACTGAACAAACAACTGACCCCATTCCAAGAAGAGATCAGCATTTATCCTGCTATTAACTAAGACCTGAACAGTAACATTCTCGGGGCAATGTTGGAGCCACTCACATCGTAGTCGTTTCCCTTTGAAGATAATCATGTTTTAACTGAAAACACCTTCCGCGTTGAAGGCTGTTAAGAAAGCAAGTGGTAGTTTCAGCACAATTAGAAAGGAGATGTTAAAATGTATCTAGTATATGATTTGACATGTATTGATATATTTACTGTTTTTTTGATAAAAGGAACCATCAAATTTCAATGCTGAAGGAGGCTCATTTAAGCTGAAAAGGGTGACTCAATGTACCACAATTCATTAAGGTAAATTGAGCTGCCCATAAAAAATGCATTTTTATTTAAAAAAAGATAGCTAAAGAAAGAAGATGCTTGCTATCTGGTGGAAACGATCACAATATGAAGTATTAGCCCGTTTTTTTTAATCAATGTATATTTTCTTTCCTTTTTTTTAATCAACCTTATCATTTTCAAGAAAGATTTGTCAACCAGAACACTCACCCCTCAGTTCTTTTCACCAAGCTGGATGTGAAGCATTTCCCCACCCACAACAGCAGCTATAGAGCAATCAAATCAATTGTTTTGTTTTGTTAAAGTACAGTTCTGCCAGCAATTTGAAAATTCTTTACGGCCATTGCCTGTAAAAAATTAAAGAGCTAGGAGACTTAAACCTTGAACGGCTTATTTTACCTGATGCCCCAATTTACCTGATGACACCATTTGTGCTGAGTACGCAGAACGAAAAAGTGTAACAAAGACAATCAATCAGATTTAAAACAAAATAAAATTAAAATGAATGAAAAACAATCTTAGACCGAAAAAATATGCGATTTTGAGTATTTTAATGTTTCACATGTCATTATGTACCCATGGATTCTTTTCCCAACCTTTCTTCCTTTGGTAATACAACATTTCAGGTTGTAGCTCGAAATGTCGAATTCGGTAACTAAAAATCATGACGTTTCAACTTATTTTTCCCAGTCTTATTTTTTTTTTGCCTAGCAATCTTATTCTAATTCAGTTTTTATTATATTTTACTACGACGACTGTTTTCTACAGTCATTGGTAGAAACTAATCGTCCTGTGACGTCAAACGGCTGCGACTTAACGTGTCACTTCCGCAGTGTGCTGGTGTTTACACACAGGAGAATTAATATTTTTAGAAGATGACGGTCAATAAAGCAGACAATATTAGCAGTATCCCCATCGACGGATTCAGCAATTTAAGAATAACGTCGTTATGGACTTTCTTCATGTCGGTAAGCCGATTCCAGCGGAGACTAGCAAACTACGCTTCAGCTATTACAGCTAACAGGAGTCTCTTTCAGTTTAATTCAAGTTTGGCAGCTCCATTAACGGTTGTGTATGCGTGTCTCTGTCTTGGTATGCAGGTGCAGTGGTCCGAGCCCTGGCTTATCGGTCTGCTGGTGTTTCATGCTGTGTGCTTGTTCCTGACTTTGCTCACCTGCAAGTATTACAGAGCTCAGATCTGCCACTTCCTGCTCGTAGGTACGTGTCACAAAACAAACTACACTGTTCAAAAAGAAGAAGGAAACTTGATAATCACGTTAAAAGTCTGTACTGATATACGCTCTGTAATTTATTAAAAACAACTTTAGACAAGCGTCCATTATGCCATTATTGATCCATCTTTATCGTTTTTTTTACCCAGATCTATATATACCCAGCTGTCTTATTATCTTAAATCCCAAACAAGCTTACTGCCTATTGTTAGCTGTAGCATCAGTCTCTCAATTAACATTAACAATGGGAAAATAGAGAATATTTGTATGACATTCATTCTCGTTTAGGCTTTCTTAGGCAAGTAAAATGTGCCTTTGATTTTATTATAATTTGGCGTCAGTAACATATGAGCTGCTTGGCCGAGAAATGTATGGCGTAAGATCAGATAAGTGGATCTCATGTTGTGTAGAGAGATGTCTCAGAATGTTGCTGGTGTTTCCACTCCCTACTTGAAATAATCATGTTAATCATGCAATAATCGATGCAGACATTAAAGCTAGCTGTTACTGTCAAATTAAGCAAGTCTTTGGACTGCTTCTCACCTCCCAAATCTCTCCCATGGCTCCCTTTTTATGGCAACACTAAATGTGCTTGTATGATGTTACTGATTTGCAGTCAGTTTGCATTTCCAGCACCTGCAAGCAATGATAAAGGAGTTGATGAACTCAGTGTCGTATGATTCTGATGCTTTGGAAAAAATTGGAACCAGCTCTCAAGTTCTTCGTTTCTCAATTTTTATTCCTAGTAAGTGGGAACTAAAACAATCCACTATTTGAGAGCTGAATTCTAAATCACACCAAATATGAAAGTTAAAAATTGAAATCAAAGGTTGATGCAACTTCCTTCATAATGTGCCTGAGTGGTGTCTATCTCTCCATGTGCTTTTGTGCATCCCTGACCATGCCTGGGCATGCTCCTGATGAGATTGGGGCCTGTGCCTTTGGCTCCTGGACAATCTGTAGCATTATCTTACAGTAAATACACCAATTTGTAACATCCAAGAGGTTCTCAGTTGTATTGTCTGGGAAACATGAAGGCCATTGAAAGGCATCGTCAAACAGGACAGCAATGACCCCATCCTATATGTGGTACGGCTCATATCATCGGCTGATATTTACATTGATTTTTATACATGTGTTTTCTGTTAATTGTTACTATTGACCTGCCATTAACTCATAAACCTAACTACCTCAATTACTGCTCAATTATTGATGTCATCAAGCACGATTTAAAACCACACATTTACACGGTCACTAAAAGAGGGAAGGGTATGACTTTCAACATTTTGCTACAGATCAGACACTTTAACTTGCACATTATTATCAATAATGGGAGCTTTTAATTCTAAGCATTGAAAATAAGATGTAAATGACTTAAAAGGCCTGGTTCTTTGTATCTACCATACAAATGTGTGGATAAAATAGAATAGAGTAGGATAAATCTTTATTATCCCACGGATGAGACATTTCAGTGTTGCAGAGATCTTACAGAAAGGGAAAATAAAATATAGAAGGAAGACACAAGGTGGTCCTATATACACAAGCAACCGAAGTTCGTATATACAGGTAACAATGTACAGAATATGTATAGAAAAATAGAAAAATTGTATGGAGATCTGTATAAAATGTACTAGGATATGTATCAAAATATCCCCTTGTCA